GTTCGTCCATCACAAGTGATGAGTACCACTCTTTCTTGTATCCGTTATGAAACTGTACTTAAATGTTTGTGAGTCCCGAGGTGATTTATGTATCCAATACGTGCCCGTAAGAGCCTAGGACAAAAAGGGCAGTGTACAGTGAAATTTATGAAAAAGTGACTGGCCCGATTAATTGATTTGAAGTGAGGAAGAGTTGAGTAATTTCGTCGACCTCGCTCTCTCGCCTGTATCCATTTCAGTCCAGTGGCAGGACAATTAATCAAGTAACAGAAAGTGTATTGATCAGCACTCATAGATAGAAGTAGAAAAATAGAAGAACACTAGACAACATAAAAATAGAAAGCTTTAGTTACCGTGCCAGGAATTGAACCTGTCACCTCCAGACGACGTGTGCGCTTCGCCATGAATACAAGTGCACAAAGAACATGATCAACTAGGCACCCCCCAAAAAAGGTGTCTTATTAGCCATGTCTATCGTACAGCTTGAAGTTCTCAACTATGGAATACGGACAGATTTCATTTAAAACCATTGAAATGGCACCATAGGTTACAGCAATTTATATTACTGAAGCATGTGTCGAATAACAATCACAGCAACAACTGACGATACAGTAGACCTTAAAGACAAGACATAACACATTATACAGTATATAGAACCGATAAGGTCAGTTTAGAGCCAAAAACACGTTATCCTTACCAGATGGTAATAACGCTACCAACGTCCATGTCAAAACCTCGTATCTGTCCAATAAAAATGACAGCAACGGCTTCATAGAGCGCAGTGCCATCCATGTTGATTGTGGCTCCAACGGGAGCCACGAATGCTGTGATACGTGGGTCTATTCCGTTGTTTTCCTCGAGGTTCTTCATGGTAACTGGTAATGTTGCAGAACTGTGAAAAGGATGTGGACGTAGATATGATTTAAAAATAACAAAGTAAATTACCCCATTAGTTGCTTCTCTTCATCTTCTTATCCTTCTCCTTATCCGTCTCCTCCTTCTTCTTCTTTTTCTTCTTCTTCTTCTTCTTCTTCTTCTTCTTCTTCTTCTTCTTTTTCTTCTTCTTCTTCTTCTTCTTCTTCTTCTTTTTCTATTCTTGTTTTTCTTCTTCTTCTTCTTCTTCTGCTGCTGCTGCTTTTTCTTCTTCTTCTGCTGCTGCTCCGCTGCTGTCATTATTGTTGTGCCTGCTATTGCTGCTGCTGCTATTACTATTATTCTAGTATTACTACTTCTGTTACTACTACTACTACTACTACTACTACTACTACTACTACTACTACTACTACTACTACTACTACTACTACTACTACTACTACTACTACTACTACTACTACTACTACTACTACTACTGCTATTACTAATAATAATAATAATAATAATAATAATAATAATAATAATAATAATAATAATAATAATAATAATCCTTTTTCTTCTTCTTTATTTACTTGACATTAAAGTGCCTATACCTGTCCATGTGAAGCTTCATCAAATCACATTCACTTTCAATGAATATCCCTAAGATTGTACTGAATTGTGAATTGTAATCTCAGACGTGTTCCCGTGTGGCAAGAAATTCTGGAATGTGAACGAACAAATCTGGAAGAGCTTGAAGACCGTTGTTTCTGATACAAATGCAATTAATTCCTTGGACGGATTGCTTAAGAGAGGTTAATGGAAAGTAGCATTTTATGAGAAATTATAAGTGAGAAATGAGCTGTCTGAGAATCTCTGCGAACAAATCTGTAAAAGATTGTATGAGATATAAAGAGATTAAAAGAAATATTGGAACATACCGATCCTGAAACTCACTGAAAAGCAAAGACTGAAATTGTTCGGCGAACTATATAGTAGGAATGAATCGAACGAGGACGCCAGCGACAGCGTTCAACATGAACATCGGAACATCATGAGACAGAGGGAGACCAAGAAGAAAATGTGTTGATAGCAGTCTTCACCATATCACAGCATAATAAGCAACAGAGCATGCATTGGCTCAGCTATTGATAATCTTGAAAACAGCAACGTCACAAAGCCGCAGAAATATTGACAAAAGAAAAATATAGGACGTGTTAACTTATTTCAGCGAAAGGCATTGAAAAACATCGTTTTGGGTGGAAAGATCAAATGCGAAACTGGCAACGGCTGCGCGGGAAAAAGGGGGGGGGGGGGAGGTGATATTGAATGATTCAAGAAGACATGGCCTAGGAAAATATCAAAATCCGATACAAAGGACTGAGATCTGTAGAGAATCATAAACGCCTACGCTGTTTGTCAAAGCACTTATTGATGAAAACGACGATAATAGATAATATAACGATAATAGATAATAGACGATAATAGATAATTGATGGCGGCTTCTGCTACCATCAATGATGAACTGCAATTCTAATACTGTGATAAACATTCTGTGTGTTTTTCGTTGGCACAGGAGCGGAGCAAAGATGGGGTGACCCGTTTGCTATGAAGCTGAAACGAAGACTACCAGACTACCAGATAATAGAACCGCCTTGAAACCCCTGTTTTAACGAGTACAACTGCTGTACATTTTATCATATTACCACGAGACCAATAGTTACTCCATTAACGCCTTGTTGATACATTACTAAGACCTTCTATATTTGGTATAGCATCCAAAGATATTATTATAACATGTCATCATCATCATATAGCTGGTCCTTTGCAGAACGTCGCTCTCATCACGGTCTGCCTGAAAGAAACTCGGTCTCTCGCCAGCTTTCCCGCCTCATGTACTTTCATATTCAAGGAGTCACTTATATGCTGTGCCCATCTTCGTGTTGCTCGGCCCCTGCCCCTCCTTCCTGGTATCATGCCTTCTCATATTATTTTTTTTCCAAATCGATATTGTGCTTGATATGACCACAATATTTCAGCTTCCGAGACATGATACTGTTTATTAGCCAGTTTTTCCTTGATGTTCCAATCTTTTAGAATGTCAGACCCTGAAACATACTCCTAACATTCCACGTTTTAAACTTTAGAATTTTTCTTTAACCCGGTGACAAAGTTTTATGTTCTAGTATCATAACATATATTTTTAAATTACAGCTTTTGCGCGAACTTCCCAAATCTTAGACGTTTAGTCACCGCCTTCTCCAGATAAAAAGAGAAGGGCGTGGTTTAGTCAGGTCAGCTTTATCAAACAGCTATGAATCTTTACCTGGCAATTTATAAATTCTGCTGTGTCAGATGGTTTTAGTCGTAAACATTGACGCTTACCTGGAAGACGTGCCAATAGCCGTAACCAAAGCTTGCAACATTCCGAATATAAATCTGTGGAGGCAGTTATTTTCAGTAATGTTACCAACTCTTAAACAAAGCAGGCGTTTCAGTGGGCAAAAACATTATCCCTAGGTTTTTAAAATATTCGAAATCAGTATGGTATATGTATGTCTTTATTTTCTGTTTTCTATTTTCTGCTTTGTGACGTTAGACGACGCAGGTCAACAGATTGTTGGCTTCCGAGCTAGAGCAGGCTCGGTTTCCTGGTATGCTATGATGTTCTGGAGTCTCAAGATATCAGTGACTCCTCCTTTAATTCATCTTCTTCTTTGTTGTTCCCTACCCTTTGATGTTTCTCGTGCTATGTTGTACGCTCTGGTTGCTGGCATCATTGGATTCATTCTCGTTTAATGGTCAAACCATTATAGACTTTGTTTTTCAATTAATTTAATTATAATAAACGTTGATCCTAAAGTTTATTTGTGTTTGCAAAGTTTTAAAGAAATCAAGAGGGCCGATCATTGCACCGGCTCTTAATGCATATTGTCTCTCTCTCCCCTCTCCCTCTCTCTCTCTCTCCCTCTCTCTCTCTCTCTCCCCCATCTCCCTCTCTCTATCCTCTCTCTCTGTCTCTCTCTCCCTCTCTCTCCCTCTCTCTCTCTCTCTCCTCTCTCTCTCTCTCTGTCTCTCTATCTCTCTCTACATGCATAGCTTTTCTTTCCGAAAGATTCATAGTGGGCGATAATTTGTCCTACGCCGTGATGTAGCCGATAGACACACGCTTGTGAATCCGAATGTCGTGGGTTCAAATTCGAACCCAGCTGGGCTTTTTTTTTTTTTTTTTGTCTTCAAAAAATGACCATGGCTCTTAGGTCGACACAGCTTTAAACGGATATCATGTAAAGTCCTGGAAGTAAAGGCAGCCAACGTGATGTGACCACATCAACCACAGAGTGCTGATTTGTCTATAAAATATAGGTCTAGCCCTGTATACCCAATACGCCTAAAGGCGTGGGTGAAAAGACATTTACCTTTACTTATAAAGCTCACCTGTATGGATTCTTCCTGACTAAAATAAAGTACAGCAGGGGAAGAACGATGAAACCATGAATGGCAAGGCCGGCCATGACCGTGAGAAAATAAAATCCCAGTTGCTCAAAGGCTTGAACCGGGTCGTCCATGGCCACCACTTGAGCTGCTACCAGAAACATAACTCCAATTGGTGAGTACCTGGATTGTTAAAATGTGATCTGTTTCAGTCTTAAGTGAGATAACTGGTTGTAAGAGCATGCGTTTATGTTAGCGGTAAGGCTACCTTTCCAGGATTATTTTCGGTAGAATTAACACCTCAAAGACGAGAATCAAACAGGAATTAATCTTAGAACACATTTCAACATTGTTTTTAAATTATTTTTTATAATCCACGCCGTAAAGGGTTGAAAGTCATGTCTATTGGTAGTCATGCCTATTGGTAGTCATGCCTATTGGTAGTCATGCCTATTGGTAGTCATGCCTATTGGTAGTCATGCCTTTTGGTAGTCATGCCTATTGGTAGTCATGCCTATTGGTAGTCATGCCTATTGGTAGTCATGCCTATTGGTAGTCATGCCTATTGGTAGTCATGCCTATTGGTAGTCATGCCTATCCCCAACCTTCTGTCTCTTGTACTTTCAGTAAGTTCTGACACGGATGATCGTCCATGCCAGGGTGTCAAACTGACCAGTATCTTCTCTATCTCTCTCTCTCTCTCTCTCTCTCTCTCTCTCTCTCTCTCTCTCTCTCTCTCTCTCTTTCTTTATTTCTCTCTCTCTTCTCTCTTTTTCTCTCTCTCATTCTCTCTCTCTTCTCTCTTTCTCTTTCTCTCGTTCTCACTCTCTGTCTCTTTCTCTCTCTCTCTCTCTTTCTTTCTCTCTCTCTTTCTCTTTCTCTTTCTCTCTCGCTCCGTCTCCCTGTGCTTCTTTTCCCCTCCAACTTTCTCCACGATGTACTCAAGGTTTCCCCTTTTCATGGCCCAATGAATGTAGAACGTCTCTTTCTGATGTGGACAATTAGTTCTCTTCGTGAGTCCGTTTTTTTTTTCAAGACATCTTCATTACTCGTCTTATCCGCCTAGTGTATTGTCACGATTGTCTATAGAACCACATCTCCGCCGCTTCCTAAAAATTTTTTTACACTATTCCTCAACTGTCCTTGTTTCACTTTCGTATTTCACTGGCATTACCGAGGACTTTTATCACAAATGAGCTTTGATCCCAGCTCAACCTAGCTTTAAAAGGGTACCACGTATATTCCTAAGAAGTAAAGAAAGCCGGCGTGATGCTGACCTCATGACCCACCAAGAGTGTAAATTGGTCTATAAAATCTGTGCCTAATACTGCGTGCCCAATATGTCTGAAGGCGTGAAAAGGGGTCTATAACAAGTTTACTCTCACAAAGTAACCCGATGCATGGCCACAGCACTGAGTATATCTCCAGGCCATGCCGGCGTAGTAGATAACGAACATGCAGACAGATTGGCTGGATCTGCACCACTAGGTGATGAATTGATACATGACAAGGTAGATGTGGTCAATGCCCTTTCGGAACAAGCAATGGAATCAGTAGAGAAACAAGATTAAAATGGTCTGGACAGAATGAGGCACTTGAGTGGGCTGGCTGCTGAAGATGAGGACGGAGCACGCATGGGACTGCCTGAGTGCTGTGATGTCAATTCTTGACTCAGCTTAACTCAACTCAACTACTGAATATACTATGAACCTTAAAGAATGGAAAAAGACACACACGTGCTCAGGCGCCTACACAAACACACATACACAAATACAAATATACATAAACACCACACACAAACACACACACAAACACACACACACACATACACACACACATACACACACATACACACACACACACACACACACACACACAAACACACACATGCATGGTGAGGATGTTTTGCGGGAGGGGATGAGTTAGAAAGAAAGAAAGGAAACATGGTGCTGTGCTTTGTGTTTTCCTATTTCGGGGTTTCAGCTCCATTGCAGATATCAATGTCTATTCTCGATTCAATTCTATCTGTTTTGATGCTTGGTCCTTAGCAAATTTAACCGTGATGTAAGCTTATTACGGTGGTATCTGCCAGATATAAATTAAGTCTCAGACACGTACTGTCACACCGCTTATTTTCAAGCATTTACTTCAGGTCAGCATGCTCTTCGCACAGATTAAAAAAATGGACCCGGTACCGCGGCCCTAATTATAACTTTTTATGATGTTGAACTGGGTATTTTGTTTTTCAACCTGCTGGTTTGTCACCCAGTATAGGTTTCTTAAAGTTGCAAGTATTGTCCCAAAAAATTTCACGGAGCAACAAGGGCGGGGGGGGGGGAAGGGGTGTGTTAGTGCGGGGGCAAACAGAAACAAAGACTTCAGTTCATTTCGAATGGGCCAGAATATTCGTATCCTTAGCTGCCAGGTCGACCCAGCCCAGGTGCAGTCCAGAGAAGTAAAGGCGGCCAGCATGATGCTGACCACATCTAGCAAGTCACCAAAGCCGATTTGACTAAAAAAAATGTCTAGCCCTATTTTTCCAATAGCCTAAAGGCGTCGAAAGGTTCCTTTTCTGTACCTTTACTGTAATTTTTTTTTTTTTTTTTTTTAACAGAATGTTCCTATGAGAAAATTAGAAGATGCCCTTTTTCACAAAAGTAAATTCAGACTTACCAGATCACTGCAGAGACCAGAAGTAGTGTTGCCTCACACAGCGATTCCACGAAGTCCTTGAGTGGTTTCCCTTTGAGGCCCAGTTTGTTAATGGCAATCCCCATGGCGATGGAAAAAGTGACCAGTCCGAGCATATTGATGCCGCTGGCCTTTGTGACCACTGGTTCATATAATGGTTCTGTGGAAGTTAAAGGTTTAACTATAGAACTATCCCTTAGTGCAGTAAACGGACATTCTGGTCTTGAACTCGCATTATACATTTGTGTAAGCATAATGGAGAAATACTATAATATGTTCCAAAAGTTGTCCCCTCAAACTTTAACAAATTAGTAGTCTAGGCCAATAGGCACACTTAACTTTCCGTCCTTCTCAGGACGTTATTTTTTGTTATTTGAAGCCCCACTCTGGCTTTTGCCAGGGGCCGCAATATAGGCAGGTCATCATTATGGCCAAATGTCTGAACGCGGTTTCTGGGACCTCTCCACGGTGATCCTCATCCGCATGGTGGCACTTTGTGTCATCGGGTGTTTATCGCTTGTGTGATGTCCTGGTGGGGTAAAAAATCCAATCCAATCCAATAGGCACATGCTAAACTTCTCGTCCTTTTCAGGATGGAATTTTTCGTTGTTTGAAGCCCTACTCTGGATTTTGCCAGGGGCCTCAATATGGTCTGGCCATAAATATGGCCTAAAGGCTGAACGCGGTTTCTGGGACCTCTCAACGGTGATCCTCACCCACATGGTGGCACTTTGTGTCATCGGGTGTTTATCGCTTGAGTGATGTCCTATGGGGTAGAAAGTCAGTCAGTCAGTCAGTCAACTAACTAACATCTCGAAAATCCCTGTACAGATTAACGGGAATGGTTTTATATAATCTTAGATTTTCCAGATGATTTTATGGTTTACAATTTCACAGGTGATGTTCTTTCCTACAGTGGCGAAATAGTTAAGAGTTTTGTCGAACTAATAACTTGTGTACAGTAATTGACACCAATAATTTATTATTTTTATTTGCCGATCAACAGGCATTTTCGCATTAGATGACGTACGTACTTCACTTTCAAAATAAGCACACATATATTTTTGCATGAATTACATCAAAAACACAACCCTTTAGTGTAAATCGTTTTCACTCTGTGCACTGAATCGGTGTATGTTTTTTCATGTACAAAAAATAAGGCAAAATAGAAATTATTTTCCTTCAAGGATATGACTACTAAAAACGGCATGCCAAATTTAAACAAATTTTACACCAAACAGTTACAGAATTACAGATAATTAAAACTGGTCACCACTTTTGAAATGGACGATAAGTATGTATGAGAACCACCGTAGCCTAGTTGCTACTCTTGCCTGCCGGCCCGAAGGTTCAGGCTTCGAATACGCAACGGGGTGGATTTTTTGTTTTCTTCGAAATTTACCTTGGCCACCAGGTGGACCCAACCTAAATTCTTCTTTCGTTCGCATGAAATAAATTGTCTATATCTGCAAAGCTGTCTCTAGTATGAATTTCACTGTCTTTTGTAATTCACTAAGCGGCCCGTAAAGTTTGACTTCCACAAGTGTCTCTTTTGGCCAAAGGTTTTGCCTGAAAGCGTTGAATCTGGGACAGTCTTGAAGGATGTGATCTGTTGTTTCAGGTGCCAGTCCACAAGTACACATGGCTGATTGGCCAATCTTAAATTTGTTGTACATGTGGGAGCGAAGTCGATTGTGCCCTGTTCTAAGGCGAAGGATAATGACTTGCTCTGGTCTGTCCATAATATGGTAATCATCTTGTGCCAGTTTCGGTGGCATTCTGATTGGTGGCAACCTAAATTGATTTACGGTATTTACAGTGGAATCAAGGCCGAAAGGTTGCGATATCCACAATACCGAGCCTAAGGGTTAACAACTCATGGCTTCTGGATACTAAAACAAGTGAAGCAAGGACGGTTGGCGATTAGTGTGAAGGAATTATTTTGAAACGGCGGAGATGTGGTTTTATAGAGAATCATGAGAATACACTGGACAGATACAATGATTAGTGAAGATGTCTGGGAAGAAACTGACTCACGAACAGAACTGATTGTCTACATCAGAAATAAACAATCTACATTCTTTGGTAATGTCATGAAAAGGGAAAAACTGGAGTACTTTCTGACGTTGAGAAATCAGTCATATCCTGGGAAATCCCCTTGTGGATTCCGGGGCCCCATTATAGGGAAAACAAGAATAGACCCACTGCCTACTCAAAAGCATGTCGTAAGAGTCGACTAATTGGGGAGCTTCCTTCGAAGTCGGAGTGCATCTGCCGGAGAGGCAGGGAACCAGCAGTCTGCACACAAATGAGTCAGATCTGTAAAACGGATGCACACGCAACACTCAGGTTTTGGAACAGGCCTGCAGTCCAGAAGTGGATGAACAACCAGAACTTTCCGCCAGAGTTTACAGCTGGTGATCGCGAAGTAGAAGAAATAATATCCTGGGAAGAAACGGTCGCCGGTGTAATGTTTATCATATTACGCTTCGAGTGCGACTGATTTATAAAACTTTAGGTCTAGCACTATGTGCCCGTTGTGCCTCAGGGCGTGATACTTTACTTCATTTTTACCCTAATTACTAAGTATATACAGTAGTACCTCGGTACACGCTCTTAATCCGGTCCAAATTCTTGGTCTTATACCAGACAGGACGTATACTAAACAAGACATACCACACAAGACGTATACCAAACTGTGCGTATACCAAAACAAGACATACCAAAAAAGACGTATACCAAACAAGACATACCAAACAAGACATACCAAACAAGACGTATACCAAACAGGACGTATACCAAACAGGACGTATACCTAACAGGACCTTTACCAAACAAATTTTCCCATGAGAAATAACGGGATAATGACCACTGTGCCAATTTAAAAAAAAAAAATTTCATACTGTTACTCGAATATTATACACTGATGTTATGGCGTACCATAACTTTAACACTCAGCACCCAGGTCAACTTTAAATGGGTAGCAGGTAAAGTCCTGGGAAGTAAAGGTCGTTGTGAACACATAGGTCTAACACGATATGCTCAGAGAGTCGCCGTGATGTAGCGGCTGCAGGTAGGAGGGTCGTGGCTTCAAAAACGACTTTGGCTCCTAGGTCGACCCGACCAACCTTGGGCACCAGGTATAGTCATGAGAAGTAAAGGCGGTCTGTGGGCTATTGACCGCATCACCCATCGAGGGCCGATTGGTCTATGAAAGAAATATCTAGCTCTATATGTTAATACGCATAAAGGCATGGAAAAATGTCTTTTTACCATATGCCTAACACCTGAAAGTGTGAAAAAAGGTCCCTTACTTTTATCGGTGGATGCATAGACCATAGAGTTGCGTTTGCCAGATGTGCACTAGGCGGCTGGGTAGTTTGGAGATCGTATATATTTAAACAATGATCTGGGCTTTTTCAATAGAAAACATTATATAAGCTTGATGAGTTTCCACACTGTGGGGAAAAAAAGTTTCCACTTGAAACAAGATAAAACGTTCTCGCTACAACTCTTTTTATATCTGGTCCTCCCCCCCCCTCTCTCTCTCTCTCTCTCTCTCTCTCTCTCTCTCTCTCTCTCTCTCTCTCTCTCTCTATCTATCTATCTATCTATCTACCTATCTCTCTATCGCTCTCTCCCTCTTTCTCTCCCCCCCCCCCTCTCTCTCTCATATATATCTAAATATATATCCCTTCTCCGCACCCTCCCGTCGCCCTGTGTCTTTGTCTCTCGCTTTCGGCCTCTACCTCGCTTTCCTTTTCTCTCTAGACCGTTCTTTCCCTCTTTCTTTCTTATTTTCCACCATTCATTTCTTTCTCTTCTTCTTCTTCCTCCTCCTCCTTCTCCTCCTCCTCTCGGTGATACTCTATTTTAAAAATAATAAGCAACTGAGATAATTTACCGATAGTTTTATTATTCAAAAGTGTCTCGTTAATTTCAGCTTGTGATAAATTGCCGCGCTTCACCTCTTTGAGTTCAGTGAGTTTCTGAAACATTGAAACAGTATAAAATAAAACGTGTTACTGTCTTATTGGTAGGTATATGTATTGACATGCAGGCAGGCAGAGTCGGAGATATAGATAGAACAGAAGATATGGTTATAGAACATATAAGTAGTATAAGAGGAGCATGGAGAGAGAGAGAGAGAGAGAGAGAGAGAGAGAGAGAGAGGGAGAGAGAGAGAGGGAGAGAGAGGAGAGTTAAAAGTGTAGTATACATTATGATTTAGTATAACTAATAAGGAAGGTATTAACTGAAGCACACTGTAATTTTATACCAGGGTATAATCTGCCCTTCACAGTAATTTTTTAGGATCGTTTGTTCGGCAGTGCTTTTTCCAACCACTGGTGAACACAGAAACGTTACACCTTACGTACCATCTTAACACATACACACATACACACACACCACATGTTTTGAGAAAAGGCTAACTATAAAATATGTGACCATTGGGAAGATCTGGATAAAGAGTCACAGAGAAAGATACCACGAGATGACTCTCAATTCTATCATGGCATGCGGTCGGAAAAAGGGGGGGGGGTGTCAGCGCATGACTTGACGAATGTTGTTGGCGATTTTAAGTTGAAGAGAAACATGATCGCCTACACCAGCTGATAAACCACGTGCTGATGAAAAGGATTATGATAATACCTATATGAACCGTCCACCAAAATGTATAAACACTTCAAAAACAACAACAACAAAAAAGATAACATAATTTAACTACATCTATACAAATATCAAATGATAAATACAAATTACCACTGACTTCTGCAGTTAGAAAGTTTGAAGAAACTGCTTACTATTAGCACCCAGGTATTTTTTTTTTTTTTTTTCCACTGGGAATTGCTGCTTTGGCCATGATGGTGAAAGTGTCAAGTAGGCTGTAAAGCTCATGGTAGTGGTGACGATAGTAATGATTAAAACGATGATGATGGTGACCATTCAGTCCTTCCTGTACTCTCACCAGCACCACAACAAAGACAACTTACTTCACATTTTAGCCTTAATGCATTCTTTCTTAAAAAATTCTCATTCATGACACCTGTTAAAATGCGTATAATCCTCTTCTTCTTCTTCTTCTTCTTCTTCTTCTCCTTCTTCTTCTTCTTCTTCTTCTTCTTCTTCTTCTTCTTCTTCTTCTTCTTCTTCTTCTTCTTCTTCTTCTTCTTCTTCTTCTTCTTCTTCTTCTTCTTCTTCTTCTTCTTCTTCTTCTTCTTCTTCTTCGCTCTTGCAAAACGGCTGGCTAGTTTTGTGGTGGTTTAAAGCTAAGCCTTTATGTCCAACAAACTGGATTTGAGCAAACCCTTAATTAATCATTAACGACATGAATTTAACGGGAAGTGGGACTTTCCCCCCTCTTCCTTTCCTGTTCCCAAAAGGAAGAACTAGAACTAAAACGGGAAGTGTGTTTTATCAGATATTTTATATATATATATATATATATATGGTCTTTTTTATAAGTCAGAATCTTTACCTTACTAAAGCAGGCCTCCACAATGTTGTCGGGGAACATTTGTCTGAAATAAAATCAACTCCTTTAGAATGTTGACCAATAAATGCAAGAGAGGCAACATAAGTGTAATCGGTAATCGAAGTGTTAAATGTTCCCCTGACACACTACACGTAGCATTCATGTGATGCAACAGGTTTAAAAACAAATCATAGCCTGTTGAATACTTGATAGCCAAAAGAGGACAGTGGCAAGCACACCTATCTGTTCACAGGTTCGAACCCCTATCGATAATGACTTATACATGGACTCCCAGGTGGACCGTGTCTATTAATGGTACAGGGAAACATGCTTAGGTGACACACATGTGCACCCATATATCCAGGGTCTTATTCACTACCCCCTCCCCTCCCCCCCCCCCCCATATTAGGTAGGAGCAGAGAGGCCCCGCCGTCTATAGACTATCTCTTTCCAGAATTTTTTAAATGCATTTCATCGTAGTTGAAAAATATATATATATATATATATATATATATATATATATATATATATATATATATATATATATATTACAGTGAGTAAAGGACCCTTTTCCACGCCTTTAGGCGTATACGTCCTATTGGGCTAGGCCTATATTTTATAGACTAATTAGCACTTGTCGGGTGTGTGCTCAGCATCACGCAGGCCGCCTTTACTTCCCGGGACTGCACCCAGTACCCACTCAAGGCTGGGTCGACCTGGAAGCTAAGATCATTTGTTTTAAAAAAATATCAGGCACCGCCAATGAGCGAACCCACGACCTTCCGATTCGCAGGCGAGCGTCTAGCAGCTCCGCGACGGTGACTCCCATATATATGTGTGTGTATGTGTATGTGTGTGTGTGTGTGTAATTTGCTATTCAGCACATAATAATAGTAATTATTTTTATTATTATTATTATTAATATTATTATTATTATTATTATTATTATTATTATTATTATTATTATTATTATTATTATTATTATTATTATTATTATTGCATATTTAAACTAAAAACATGGCTGTCCGCGTATAACAGTGGCTCCTATGAGAAGCTAAAAATAGCAATCCTACTGGCATGTCCTAAGAGGTGATTAGGGGAAAAACTGGGCTTGCAGTTGGCAACCTCGTCCTGTTAACAAACAATAACCACAAATTTACCAAGCCACCATGGGAAAGTCGAAAAGAGACAAGTAATACTCTGCCAGCCAAGACAGTGAGGAAGGGAGAGAGAGAGAGAGAGAGAGAGAGAGAGAGAGAGAGAGAGAGAGAGAGAGAGAGAGAGAGAGGCTTTTGCAATAGAAGAATAACAAAGTACAAAGTACATAGAAAAAGAAAGGATGGAAAAAAACAGAAGAAGGGGATGAAGGACGCAAGAAGACGAATTAAACATGGCTTAGCTCCCCCTCCCCCCTACCCCCACCACTCCCACCCACACTTCCCTCAATACCTTTCTATGGGCCGGGGGGGGGGGAGGTTGAATGCTTAAGCTTTGAGTAATTGCGCAATAATCGTTATAATAATTGTTGTCATTATTATTATCATTATTATTATCATTATTATTATCATCATTATTATTATTGCGCAACTAAACAAGGTTTTAGTCCCGTTTTTGGAAAATTCTGAGAAGGGCTAAGCCAAACATCCCCCGCCCCCACAACACTGTTTATTTTTCTTAGGTGGTGCTTTTGGCCTGAGATGATTGTGTGACTTGTAGAAGAGGTGCAGCTGGGCGCAGATTTGGCCTGAGATGATTGTGTGACTTGTATAAGAGGTGCAGCTGGGCCCAGATTTGGCCTGAGATATTTACCTAATGAGATCCAGAAACGTGTCGGCGGGTTCCACTTTCCTGAAGGTTTGTTCTGCAGCTACTGGCGTGTCGCCCCTCTCGCCAGGTTTGATGGCCAGCACCAGAATGATGCCCAGAATCACCGCCATTAACGTTGTCGTCAGGTAGTACAGACAAGCTCGGGCTCCAAGTTTACCTGTTAGTCGCACAATATAAATATATACTGTTTTGTTTTTTCTTACCAGTGCTATGCTATCAATGTTAAACATGGACACTTGTCTTCAGAACACAGAAGGAAACAAGTTACTACAGAAGGGAAATTGTTACCTACTATGCTAGGTATAAAACCCGTTAGTCGCACAATATATATCGTTATTATTCTTACCAAAGCTTACTTCTTCTTCTTCTTCTTCTTCTTCTTCTTCTTCTTCTTCTTCTTCTTCTTCTTCTTCTTCTTCTTCTTCTTCTTCTTCTTCTTCTTCTTCTTCTTCTTCTTCTTCTTCTTCTTCTTCTTCTTCTTCTTCTTCACTTCCTCTTTTACCGCTGTATGTGTCGACGGAGATATAAGGTTCTGTTTCTAGCTCTTCTAGCCGCCTCGACCATAGGCACATCGTGCTGTTGTAAAGTTTCTCTGACGTTATCCTTCCATATTGTTCTTGGTCTACCTCGTGCTCTACGTCCTTCTTCTCTTTCCATGTATGCTTTGTATGGTATGGTGTCACAAGGCATTCTCTCTAAGTGGGCAAACCATTTCACTTGCTGTCTTCGTATGTAATCCAGAAAAAAAAAGCTTACTATCCATGTCAAACATGGACACTTGTCTTAAGAACACCGACTTAACGGTCAGCTCTCGGTATCACTGTCGAAACCAACACAAGACATATCGCCCGCAGCTAGGATCGAACCCCTCACCCGGACATTACGAAGCGTGTTCGCAACGCCTAAGCAACAGACGCTGATGATAAATACTGTTGGAGATCGCAAAGTGGCGAGGTGGTCAAGCAGTTTGCCTCGCGCTCTGAAGTGCCGTGGGCTCGTTTCACGGCAGCGTCGTTTATGTGTGAAATGTTTACAGACTTATGGAGATTGTCACTGAGATACGGGGTGTGTGCTTTGTGCGACGCTCTCGGCAAGCGGCTAGTCGCTCTACGAAGAGAGAGAAGGAGTCATATGTTGATTCTCTCTACTTTAACCTTTAATTAGTCCAAGCCAGCAAGGCATTTGACGATGGTAAAATGGCAGATACAGAAAATCTTAGCACGGAAATGCACTTTGGCAGTGTGGACACTGGGTGGACACTGTGTGGACACTGGACACTGTGTGGACACTGGGTGGACACCGTGTGGACACTGTGTGGACACTGGGTAGACACTGTGTGGACACCGGGTGGACACTGGGTGGACACTGTGTGGACACTGGGTGGACACTGGGTGGACACTGGACACTGGGTGGACACTGGGTGGACACTGGGTGGACACTGGGTGGACACTGGGTGGACACTGGGTGGGCACTGGGCACTGTGTGGACACTGGACTCTGTGTGGACACTGTGTGGACACTGTGTGGACACATTTTATGGACAGACCAGAACAAGTTTCTACGCCTCACAACAGGACACAGTCGACTTCGCAGTAACATGCACACACAATTTTTAACCGGCGAATCCGCTATGTTCACGTGTAGACTGGTCCCTGAGACAACAGGTCATGTCCTCCAATACTGTCCCAAATAAAACATATCAAGGCAAAACGTTTGGCCAAGAGAGACATCGGTGCAAGTCAAACTTTACGAGTGAATTACAAAAGACAGCAAAGTTCATACTTGAGACAACATTGCAGATTTAGATAATTTATTTCAAGCGAACGAAAGAAGAAGAAGAAGGGTGGACACTGATTTTGGGCAGCACCAACTTTAGACGTGGTGCAGCGGCTAGATGCTGGCCTGTGGATTTGAACGTTGTGGGTTCAGGTCTAGATACAGCTAAACATATTTTATTTTTTCAAAGATGACCTTGGTTCCGAGGTCGAGCCAGCCTTAATGGGGTACCAGCTAAAGTCCTGGGAAGTAAAGGCGACAGATGTGATGTTGACCACATTACCCTCCGATTACCGATTGTTCTATAAAACAAGGTCTAGCCCTATATTCACAATACGCCTGATGACTTCACTTACAACTATAATAAAATCAAATTCTTCACACACAAAAAGTCTTACCTGAAGCTCTGGCATCTAGCGATGTCAGCCCAGAAATCAACGAGGATATAATCAATGGAAGAATCACCAGCTGAAGCATGTTCATCAGCAGCTCTCCGGGAAATCTTAAGTACATAATTTCCCTCTTGGTCAGCTTAGGGTCTAGAGTCCGTAGGCCGGCGCCCATGCCAATGCCTATAATCAATGCGATGATCAGGAGAATGACTAGAAGATTCTTTCTGAGAAGACGTAGTGTCTTTTGACAGCATGTTCTTTTTTCCACCATGTCATTTTCTTCATTGCCGCTACTTGTGGAGTTATTGTGATTGGTCAGTTCTGACGAGTTGTTACTCTCCAGTGTGTCCATTGTGGTGGCCCCGTAGGCTGGAGGAGATAGATCTTTGGTCATTGTGTGTTGCGTTGTCTCTCCGATGAGTTTAGATTGTAAAGTGTGGAAACAGTCAGTTAACTTTTTTTGTGGGATGTTGAGAGATGCATCATGGGAGGACCTTGGTCAGAGAGGATGCAGTTTTAGTGTCTTGTTTTCATCATCTGGCAATGAAGATATAAAAACAGAAAATAACGGGTAGGCTTTAAACATATAATCATAAGCAATTTAACACGTACTCATTGGCACTCACATAAAAGGGGCAAGATGTGAGTACACGATATTGTTGTTGTGGTTGTTGTTGTTGTTGTTGTTGTTGTTGTTGTTGTTGTTGTTGTTGTTGTTGTTGTTGTTGTTCTTCTTCTTCTTCTTCTTCTTCTTCTTCTTCTTCTTCTTCTTCTTCTCCTCCTCCTCCTCCTCCTCCTCTTCCTCCTCCTTTAGTTAAGTTCTGCTTTTCAGCTTCAGGTTTTGAAGAGGCATCAAGTTTGAGCCTTGATATGTGCTTACGTAGATGCTGGTATTTAAGACCTCGAATATTCCATTCATCCATTGCTTGCATGGTCGACCTCTAGAATGATTCCACTGTGTCTAAGTGACAGGACTATCTGTTGTGCACTGTCAATACCACACAGAGGGTAAACTTAAAGTACACTGTGCATAGAAGGTGTGCACATTGTTT